TGCCAATCAACCCTGCAGCTCCGCTTCCGATCGTCTGTCGAACCTTACCATTATTTTCTCGACTGTGAGCTCCAGACTTCGGTGTTTGCAGATCCTGTGCCTGGTCGGCGGATGCTTCAACGTGACCAACTTCTGGTATGCCGAAACGACGTTGTTGATTTGAATGCCCGACCGAGCTGGGTGATACTGTTTTTCTGGATGTGATCTAACACGCCGGAGTTTAGAGAGTATATGTCGAATTTACGGAGATAATGGTACTGTTGCACTCAGTGTACTTGTCAATCCTTCTTTTACTTTTATCTCTGCATGTACTTTTGCTTTTTTGACCGGCTTTTCTCAACGGTTGTTATTATTATTATTGCCTTGTGGCTGATAGCAACCAGATCTTTTGAACTCTGTTCATACCCCACTAATCGGGCTAAACTTCATCATGGAGCAGTCGCTGAGTTGGCCTTATTTCCTGACTATTCGCCGTTTGGTTCTTCTTGTTTGTGTGACAAAGCTTCTACGTGCTTGTTTTGACCATTCTCTTTTGCTCCCACAGACCCTACTATACCCTCCGATGCTGCCAGCTTGCTGTCTGAGCTGTCTTTGCAGTTGCAACAGCTGGCCTCACACAGCCAAAAATTACCGGATAGAGCGCAGAATGACGACAGCTTTGAACTTCCTCCACCGCCTCCCACATCCATGTTCTTAATGGACCAGTCAGAATCCACCGTTTCCACGGATGACGCTCTGAATTCCGCCTCTAGTTGTATTACACAGAACGTTGTCTTCCGTGCGGATGCACCCCGCCCACCATAACCTCGTTAGTTCGCCTGCCCATCATTTGGCGGTTTTTTCTATGTAAATATCACTTTTGTGAGCTTCATAAGAGAACCTTGCTTTTGATTAGACTTTATTCTTATCTTTGTATATGTCCAGCTTGTAATGTTGTTCCTCTATGGGTATTTCGATGCCCTGCACGATCAGTTTTACGCACTCTTTCTTTAACTTTTTCATATGGATTTTCTTTTAGAACTACTACTACCCAGCTCCTACACAATTAACGCAAGATCGCTTCCTTTACATAACTATTCTACACAATCAACTTTTCTTAGTCAAACGACAACTATTTGGGGCTGTCCGTATTATTTTCCACCGAATTTTAGTTTTCGCCTACTCTTGCAGCGTGAACATAATGTGTACACGGCGGTTAAAAATTTAACACACAATTTGTTTATGCTATGGATGAATCTTGTGTATACGAGCTTTGGGGTGAATACAAGTTTACCGACCCCTCTTGTGTTTGCTACTGCAAATATACCAGCTATTCGATTTGACCTCCCTAGTTGTTCACTGATCACTGTTTGCTTTTAGACGCTGCTGTCAATTTATCTTTTATTCAAGGCCCGGAATTTATCTACTGCCCATACTTTTCCTGAATTTTGTCTTGGGAACTAGTTATTATTGGTACTTTCTTTTATGCTAGCCACACCGCTGGCCGTTTAGTTCTCCCAATCACTGTTCTCGGTAGACCGAAGGAGATCTCAGAGACCAGAAGGCTTCCTTTCTTAGGTCTGTGTTCTTTTTCGTCATCTGATTCCTGTGTTGCGCTCATTCGGTGCGCGGACGATCACTGCATTACTCCGCTTCTCGTTATTGATTTTTTCCCCGAACCTGCACCAACAGCACCATAATGTGTCATATTTCGTGCTCATGTATCCCTTTTGTGCAGCATTCAATATAGAATTGCGGCAATTCCACAGTGAGATTGTACAGATGGCACCCAACCTGCTGCCCAACTTTAACTTATCGCTTGTCCCGCGCTGTTCTGAACAATCTTGGTTCCTGCTCATCCTGAATAGCGAGACTAATCCCTAACCCACTGGCTCCATGCTTTTCCGTAGCGATCACTTTTTTGTTAGTTAGCGTACAACCTCTGGGTGGATGACAATTAACCCGGCCAACTGCTGATAGGCACGCATCGGGCTGCCCTTGTTGCTCTGTTTACTCTCATATTGACCGAGTAATCAGTGCTCCAGCTCATCCTTTGATATCGCGTCATCAACAACATAATATCGCCATCTTATGCTGGAAGGCAGCGATGTAGTGCTAGTCATACGGTTTAAGCAATAGGGTACAGTGCAAGGCTGAACTGCTCTTCACAAACATTCGGCATCAAGGTTTTCGAGGATACGGTGGCATTGGCGAGGCTACTCCCAGTTGCTTTTAATATCCCCCACAATTACCAACACCACTCCACAGGTTGCTGAGTATCCTACACGGTTGGTTCAGCTAATCGACGCCACTGTCCACTATTCTAACAGTTGTGTCGTACGCTCTCGAATTAAGCACAGAGCGGATCACGAGTATTACAGCCAGGATGATGAGACTGACCATTACCACGCAATTAACTGCTTCGCAACGTAATTCCCCTCCTACCTCACGTCTTGTTGTATTGAATAAACAAACTAGTCTTTTCGAACAACGGTTAATAAACACATTGCATGACGAATCCAAACTGATCCAGTCTAATCAGTGTGACGTTAGATTCATGCTGGGGCTAATGTCGCATTCATGATGCTTATTCATCGCAGTTGGGCTAAACCAAAATACACTTAAACTAGGTCTTATAAAGCTGGATAAGTTTCAGTCCAATTTATTTGGTTTGTTCTGCCTACCTGAACAATCTTCTATTACTTTCCACATGTTTGTACTTACGTACATGGACTAACGGCATCCCGATCTGCCTGTCACTGGCCTCCACGGGGACAGCCACAGGACCCCTGCGCCAACAGAGGGACCACGGGTGGCTTGCGCTGCACCACCCACAGCTCCAACCACACACCCCATATCCAGTGTAAACCCGAAGGAATAAGACCGAGAGGCATGTGGATGAGAGCCACGTTTCATCAACGGAGCCGGCCCAAGCTCCTTTACAGGCATACACAAGCACGCTGCATTTGGGAATCAATCGCACACAAGGCGGTGGCTGGACCGTAGTCCGCTCCACACTGAGTGCATGGAACCACTCTTCGAGCCTAGCACAGCCACAAGGACGGTGCATCCCGTCCCCTCTAGCAACGACCAACTGTCTCCTGGAGCCAGTATGGACGAGGTAGTGGGTAATAGACAGGTAGGCACCTTGTCAACATGCACATCAGCGCAACCACACCGGAGGTATCAACCAACAGCCATTCACTTGAGACGACAATATCAAATAAAATAAATCGGATAACGCATATAGATATGCTGATATAACTCTTCAATAAATGTGCATTTGAGATAAATTGGTTGCCAACAAATCCTATATAGGTTCAAGATGTCAGATTAGTAAATCGAATGGGAGCGTGCTTCTCTTTCACGTGCAATAGCGCTTTCTTCTGCACCTGGACAACCGTCCTCTTTATGAGACCACGGAATTCGCACCGATCAACTTTGCCTTTGGTTCGCAACACCTGAAATCAACGTTAGTTCGTCATGAACTCACCTTGTTCATGTCCTGACAAGGTTATTTTCGCTTTCCTCTAGTGCCACTCCCCAGCACTAAGCTGGTCGTACACAAGCGGTATGAGTATCTGTCGAATTCATTCGGTATACATAGATACATGGATTAATGTCATCCGTGTCCAATGGCAATTCGATTACAACATATGCACATGCATTTGTCCAAACTTAAGTATGAACTGCCACAAATTGGATAGGAACACATTAAATCTCATGAACAATAGTACTAAAAACGTGCATGGGTTTCGTTTGGAGGTCAGAATAACAGCCATTTTCGCAGGCATGAGAATAAGTGCCCGATACGAAATGTTGGTGATTTCTTTAACATTTAGATGTGAACATAAATGACAGCCTTGAATCTTAGGCATCCATATTTGCACGAAACCGATATAGAAGTAGTGATGCAACTGTCATCACTACATATTTGGCGGCATCCGTATCCGGATTTGCCTGTCACTGTGGCCTTCACGGGGACAGCCACAGGACCCCTGCCCCAACAGTGGGACCATGCATGGCTTGAGGTGCACCACCCACAGCTCCATCCACACACCCCATATCTAGTGTAAACCCGAAGGAATAAGACTGGGAGGCATGTGGATGAGAGCCACGTTTCACCAGCGGAGCCGGCCCACACTGCTTCACAGGCAAACACAAGCACGCTGTGTGCGAGGATTCAAGCACGCACGAGGCGGTGGCTGGAATGTAGTCCGCTCCACTCTGAGAGCATGGAAACACTCTTTGAGCCTAACGCTGTCACGAGGATGGTGCAACCCGCTCCCCCTAGCAACGACTAACTGTCTTCTGGAGCCAGTATGGACGAGGTAGTGGATAATAGACAGGTAGGCACCTTGTCAACATGCACGTCAAGCGTGGCCACACCGGGTATGTCAAGCAACAGCCAATAACATGCAATGAAATGCGGAAGAAAATATATCGAATACACCGTACGGATTTTGGCTCTAATTTGGCATATGGAATAAATGCATTATCGAAATAACCTTGATAAATTCAAGATGGCAGGTAAATGGATCAAGGTACATATGTAAGGGAAAAAATTTAGCGGGGTTTCTACAGTTAGCTTAAGCGACGTGTGCATGTTGATAGAAGAGTACTCAGGCAGACATTAACATGACGCAGAAAAAGTAAGCATTAAGACAAGATAGCAAACCCACCACCTGAAATAAAGACTCAGCATGCAAGTATGGTACACGAGCTGCGTAACTCTTCTCAGCAATCATCATCAAAACCGTGATGTACCTTTCTCTAACGGTTGACTCAAATATTCTAATCTACGCCGAGCTGCCTAGTCATTGCTGGGAATCTCAGCACTCCGATTTCTCCGCGGCGAGGCTATCTGGCATTGCTCATCAACGAAGCGTACAGGAATTCCGACCATAGACAGGGCTGTTTTATATTTATCAGAAAGCAGCCGACTGCTGGAATCAACACGCTCAAAACCGCTATGAAACAAGACCTTTGAGCGGTATCTCATCTATCTGCACACAATTCACGGAGATACAAGGCTGAATACTCCGACTAACAGGTCTAAGTAATATGCAACCAAGTAGAGTTTTTCAGCAAAAGGGCGTTTTCATCCGACATCTCGTCGTTCAATCTGCCGATTAGCTTCAGGAACGTCGGCCTCCAGGAGTATCCTGTCCCTGGTATCTCAGATCATCTGAGTTGACATTCACCAAATGTGACCACCGCTCAGCTAACTGACTGACAGGCACTGTCACCGGTTGCGACGGTAGGTGACGTAAGCAATATGCCTGGTCTACACCAATACTATCAGAGCCGCTCAGAGGGGACAATCGGGAACTAGCAGGGCCCACGTCCAGTGAGGTACAGGCGTTCACTGTTTGCATTTTTAAGTAAGCAGACACCATCTGTACTCCAGCCTCCCTCAGAATATCTTCCTGTACCAGACTTACATCAGAATCACTATCCACTAAAGCATAGGTCTCAATGGATCGCAAGAGGCCCATCAAGCGCACAGCGAGCGAGACCTTTCTTAGAGTGCTGTAAGTATTGTGGCTGTTGCTCGGTTCTTTCTTGGGAGTCCTCTGCATTGACTCGTAATGTAACAGCGAATGTTGTCGCCTCTTGCATGTGGCCAGGCTGCAACCCTTGAGACCAGGCAGCTGGCGGCGCGATGACCAGTCCCTAGACAATTGTAACAACCGCCCTTGTCTCTAATCAGATCCCAGCGTCTGGTTACATCCAGCACTGCAAACTTAGGGCACGATGAAGTACTGTGGTTGTCGCCACAAACCAAACACAGTGATTCCTTGGGCGTATCTAACGTGGTGTATAGGGCGAAATTGCGATCGCTTCCTTTGTCCCCAAATAATCGTCTCGGCCGAGCCTCATTCAGCTGTCGTGGCGTACTTGCGGTCGCTATCTGCCCAAACCTACTACGGGCAACACGAGCTTCAGTGGCGACGAAGTCCGCCAAGTCTTTAAAAACAACTTCCCGTCCGTCTTGAACAATTGAATCAGCTGTTTTTGCCCATCTGGTTTGCAGTGCGTTTGGGAGAACACGGACTATTCGCTCGATCGTGGCCACGGAGTTTAAATCGGCAGTAAAGTTCATCTGAGATAGGGCCACATAACAATTGTCTAGTTTTATGGAGAGACGCGACAGAGCATGGTGATCCCCATCGAGTGATCTCAAACCAGTAAGCAGACCTTCGATTAACGATCGGGCAACAACATGGCACTGACCAAACAGTTCTCAGAGGATAGATCAAGCCTTGTGATAGGCCTGTACAGAGGAGGGCATTACACACTCGCTTATAGCCTCCTTTGCAGGACCCTTGCAATAATAAACTAGATAGAGCAACCGCTGCCCACCGTCACTCACGCGGCTCTCGACAAAATATTCAAACTGCTTAATGAACCTCCAGTAAGCTGCCGGATTACCATCAAAAAATTCTAACTCCACCTTCGGCAAATCTAATGACGTACAACAACCTCCTGGTAACGGTTGGTTATATGGCATAGAGGGGGCACGGTGTCTTGACAATCATTGAAAAATTGACTCATTCGATCCATCTTAACAATAGGTACGTAACTGGAGGCAGCGAAGTAATCGGGGCAATCAGGACTCTCCATTTCTAGCCGCAACTTAGCTATATCTGACTCCGTTTCAGCTTATTGCCTTTTAAGTTCCGCTAGCCTTAAATCTGCACGCGCACTACTTCTACAACTACTGTGCGATCCAGAGCAAGAAACAATGTCTTCAACGGTGGGCAAATTCTCTACTTGCCAGCATTCATTCATATCTTCCTTAGCATCGCGGTGGGCTTCTTATTCCTTGGCATCGTGCAATCCGACGGGGCAGACGTTTCTAAAGCAAAGAAACGTTGATCACTCGTTCTAAATTCGGAGGTCGTTAGGCATTGTAACGCTACATGGCGTTTAGAAGCTTAAGCCACACGTATCCCACCGGAATAGTCAACAAAAACCAAGTCTGGACCTGAGATAACGGTGTTATTTGCACAAAACCATTGTATCAAAAGGAACATTACCTGATACTAGGACTGTATTTCAGATCAAGTAGAGGGGTTTCTTTACGACTATGGAATTAGGAAAAATCAAGAACCTCTAGTTGCGAATCGTCAGCTGTTGTGTTTAGTCAGTTAATCCTTTATTCTATTACGGTTGTGAATTCGCATTGGTATTATTATTTCCGGGTATAGGATGTATTTCTGCATTGCATGTTCACCATTTCACAAAAGCACAGGTTTCCGAAATAATCATCGATACGTGTTTTAAAACATTTCACAGAATCGGCGTCCATTATTCCAGTTTTTGAATACTTCAGGGGAACGAATCGAGTACACAGCGAGTTAAGCATCCCTATCATTAATGACCAACAGGTCTCAAGCGACGCATCCTGGGGTAGTGTCCAATCAGTCTGACTTGCGGCTTGGACGAGCCCGTTGAAGTGCGTCTTCCAATAGCTTAATGTCTGTTTCCGTTGGTTGTAATACGGTAACGACAATTCTATGCTTGCCACAATGGAGCAGTGGTCACTGTTCGCCAGAGGTTCGAAAACTCTTATCTCGTTCAGCTTCTGCTCGCAGCTTGTAAACATTAGATCCAGACAAGATGCCGAGTGCGGAGTTACGCGCGTCGGTTGGATGACAGGTTGCGTTGTCCCGATTTCATTAGTCATTTTAGCGAATTGAGCCTCAAGGTTGCCATGACCGGGAAGAAGCCGAATCTCTAGCCAGAATATCTTAGGTAAATTTAGGTCCTCATCAGTAAGAATTGATGGCAGCTCATGTGCTTCTGCATATATGGTAATCAATCACAACAACGGTTTTATGGGCTACGGAAGATAACACCCACTATTAGTTTTGCGTGTCTGTGGCGGATTGTGTACCACAATTGCTCGCATAAGTTATCCTCGATTCGATAGGTTCTGGTAAGTTTTCCGGATAGGGACGATTTAATGTACCACAGAACACCACCGTAAGCCTTTGACTTTCGGTAGCATCGGAAACAAGAGTATCCTGACAACGCGACTTCTTGAGGTATGATGTCGGAGTTCAGCCAAGTCTGCAAGTCCTCAAACGTCCGGCCGCTCCGGTACAGCGAAGCGGCACAGTTCGTCACGTTTGTTCGTTAGGTTGCACACGTTGGCGAATGCCACACGGAGGTCTTGGAAGGTACGTGGGGCGTGCCTGGAGGTTGAGCAACCGGTTGATGTGGGTTCGTACACCCTACTTAATGACGTGCAAATTTACAGTTTGTAAGTCAGCCTCACCTTCCGTACAGCGGTTGAGCTCAATGGCCGCAGTCTTCAAACGATCCCAGTCTTCGGGTTCCAAGTCTCGGCGGATGTGGACCTTTATACCTTTCAGCCCTAACAGACGAGACGATATGAGTTAGGTTATATTGTGGTTTACAAAGGTGATTCTCAGAGGTCGAGATGACTGGTTAGTATTTTGGCCAAGTCGGATTACTTGTTTACTAATCACACTCTCTTCACCCACATCCAAGAGTCTATCGATCAGACCCTGGAGGAACTCAACATCGTGATCATAGCGTATCTGAGGAGTTTCACCATTTGACTCTGGTACGTAAAAGAACACGAGATTATGACGCCTTAGCGAAATCGGTGAACTTGTGGAAGCAGGACTAGTGGTGCTTATCATTTGGGTTGTTGTTTATCAGCAGGGACGCCTGAACTCGATTACGTGGCCTTTTGCGCTTTTGAGTGGTCCTTGGATCCTCGGTGTTCAGAGGTTCACAGAGAGTCACTGAGAAATTCACAGATCGATCAGTAAAGCGGGATTTCGTAGGTTCAGAGTCGGAGTCTTCAATCGGTGAGAAACGTTGAACATGAGGTCCGGTCGGGGTCGAAGATGTTGATCGTGGTGCAGATCACGGAATGACAAGGGTAGGCGAAGTGACAGAGGTGCTTTCACGAGGACGTTTGAACCCATGTGGTGAACGGTTTGTTTCTGCTTGGAAGAGAGGTTTTCCTGTAGTTGTTGGTGGTCGCTGTGTATTCTGATGTCTTGCACCGCGATATTTATCACATATAAAATGAAAAATCGATGTCAGATGTCGAGATGTTTTCGAAACACGTCAACGGGTAAACCAATGCACGAAATATGGAACAAAACGTCACAGCCGAAGCACTGAAGTGCATGCGCCTTATGTCCAACAACTTTCGAACACGAACCACAAGTAGGTTGAGACGGCATCACAATATAGAGCAAATCCAAGATGGCGGACATAGGTGGTAGTTGGGCCGATCAACGAGATCTCCGGAATTAACCAAAGAATATCCACCAAATTTGCACCAATTGGAAAATACACCAAAAGTAGAAAATTGGTGCACAATTCACAAAAAAATATCACTTATGACACATTAATCCGAAGCAAAAATAGTATCCAGTACACGGTGTTTCAAAAATCCGCGGCGTCCGTGGAAGATGTTGTCTACTAAACAGCGACTGTGAATCTAAACAATCGTCTGGAAAATGTTGCAAGTCAATGCACTGATGAAACTGGGCTGCAGAGTGAAAACGATATATAAAGAAGGGGTTGAAATATAGGTGTACATGTACAACTACATGATAATGTGTGCACTGTATGACTAATATTCTTTTCATTTCGCCGAACTATTAGCCTTATGCCTATTCTAACATCACGTTCTCTCTCCTTCCGTCATACAAACCTGACATTTCCTTTCTCTCTTCACATTTGCTGCGGTGCGCTAACTGTTAACACTTCTCTCCCCGGAGAAAACAATTCGGCTCGTGACAGTTATCGGTATTCTGCACAGTCTATATTTCCATATCAATTACTCTACAAGCCGATTGCCTGGATTCTTTGGATCCATCTTAAAATCGTTTCTAGAGCTATTTTTACGGAGTTTTTATTTCTCTACGTTACCGTATGTATAACCTGAAGCAGAATTCGTCTGAAATATACAAAGTATTCAACAATTAACAATAACCGGTATGCAACTATATACTTAAATATGCGTGTGACCGAATAATCATGAGGTGAAAAATGAATGACGGAAGTTCCACCCCTATGTCCACGGCAGTCTTAAGCTGGTAAATAATTGCTTTTGAACACACAGGGCTGGCTTCATCCGGCTTATCGCAACGCCTCGGCGAAACGGAGGAAGCGGGGATTAGGGTGACGTAATACAAGTGTAAACGCTGATTCGAGCTCTATCCGGTGACGCGTAGTCAGTAGGTGTTTACCTATTGAGGTAGCTGGCGACCTGCGCATGCACGGAACTTCAGTGGGACAGGGATGCTGGTCAATTTCACGTTGAACCCACCTTGGCACGTGTTTCTTTATTCGGGAAGTCAAAGACCGATTGGTTCTGCCTATGTAACGGTCTCCGTAGTCGCATACGAATTTGTATATACAGTGTGAGTTGGCCCCTATAGGTTGAGCTTCCTTCGTTCGAGGCACCGGCAAGTTACAGGTTCTATTGATGACCAATACCAGAGCAGCACAGTAACTTATCTGCGTAGCAGAGATTAAACGTTTCGTGGTTTTCAATACAGTAAAGTCACCCTTGAATGGCAACTCGATATAGATCTTTTTCTTGGCTGCCGTATACACCAAGTCTCGTTGTTGGCTGTGTCTCTCTATAAATCTACGTGGATAACCATTTGCAACGAGTGTTGTTGTAATTAACTCTAGCTCGTCGGCTAGACAATCAGCGGAGCAAATTCGTCTAACACGACTGACTGAAGTTTTCACAAGGGTCCGC